TTTGGAAACATTAGCCACAGCAATAAGAGAAGAGAAAATAATAAAAGCAGTAAAGATAGGAAAGGAAGAAGTGAAACTGTCATATTTGCTGATGATATGATACTCTACATAAAGACTTAAAAACCCACTGCCAAAGACTTCTAGACTTAATTGACAGATTCAGTAAAGTAGCTGATACAAGGTCAACACTTAAAAATCAATAGCCTCCCCAGGGATTTAGCTCAGCAGTTCGATGGACTGCCTAGCAAGCGCAAGGACTCCAGTTCAATCCCCAGTACAACAACAACAACAAAAAACTCAATAGCCTTTTTGTACACAAATAACAGACTCACTGAGAGAGAAATTAAGGAAACAATCCCTTTCACAATAGCATCCAAAAAAATAAATATCTAGGAATCAATCTAACAAAGGAAGCAAAAGACCTCTACAATGAGAATTATAGCACTCTGAAAAAGAGATCAAGAAAATGAAAATACAACCCTTGTTTCTGGGTAGGAAGAACCAATATAGTAAAAATGGTCATACTTCCAAAACCGTATATACAGATTCAATGAAATCTTGATTGAAATTCCAAAAATGTATTTCACAGAACTAGAGAAAACAATACAATAATTTATTTGGAATCAGAAAAGACCTGGAATAGCAAAAGCTACTCTAGGCAGCAGAGACATGGCAGCAGGTATAACAATTCCCAACTTAAAACCGTACTACAAAGCCACTGTGATAAAAACAACATGGTGCCGGCAAAGAAACAGACCTGAGGATCAGTGAAACAGATTGGAAGATACAGAACAGCTCCAGATGTACTAAGCTGCCTCATTTTCGACAAAGGAACCAACCATCCTCACTGGAGGAAAGATAGCCTCTTTAATAAATGTACTGGAAAACTGGATTTCAACCTGTCAAAGATTAAAACTAGAACCTGATCTTTCACCATGCATTATACTAAAATCCAAGATGATTAAAGATCTAAATATCAAAACAGAAACACTACACTTGCTGGAAGATAAGTTAGGTAGAAGACATTGAATGAAGACATTGGCATAGGAAAAGACTTTATGAACAAATCCTCAATATTATGGGAACTAGCACAAAGAATCAAAAACTGGGATCTCATCTTGTTAAAAACCTTCTGCACTGAAAGAGAAATCACCAACAGAGCTAAGAGACAACCTACAATGTGGGAAAAAAAATTTACCAGCTGTTCCTCTGATAAAGGCCTACTATCTAGAATATACAAAGGACTTAAAAAAAATCACACCCCCCAAATATAAATATACAATTCAAAAATGGACATCTGAAATGAATAGACACTTCTCAAAGAAAATGCAGCAAATAAACATATGAAAAAATGTTCAGCATCACCGATCATTTGAGAGATGAAAACAACACTGAGATTCCCACCTTACCCAAGAAAGAATGGCTGCTATCAATAAATCAACCAATAACAAATGCTACCAGCATTGTGGGAAGAAAGGAACACTTCTTCATTGATGGTGGGAGTGCAGACTGGTGCAACCACTGTGGAAATCAATATGGACATACCTCAAAGATCTGGAACTAGAGGTTCCATTTGACCCAGCCATCCCTCTGCTGGATATCCTTCCAAAAGAATTAAAAGAATCATACTACAGTTTTATATATATATATATGCACCCATGTTTATAGCAGCACAGTTCATAATAGCTAAAACTTGGAAACATCCCCAATGCCTATCAACTGGAGACTGTATAAAGATGTGGTTTTTCTGTAAAATGCAGTAATAGCCATAAATAATGAGAAACTAGAGTCATTTATATGTAAATGGATGCACATTGAGGCCATATTCTTAAGTGAAATAAATGGGACACACACATGTAAATACCAAATAGTTTCTATGGGGTGAAAAACTAAAAGTGTAAATAAGGTTCAAATTGTATAACTGATAATGTGAAATAGGAAGAAGAGGGCTAAAGGAGTAGGGAATGTGGGAAGGGTAGAAGAAAGGAAAGCAGAGAAAAGAAAAAATATGAGAAAAAGAAAAAATGGAAACAAAGTCATTGTAAATAGGGAAGGGTGGAGGGAGTAAAGGGAGAACAGGGGTTTGGGGAAAAAATAAGAACCAAGATACATCATGTAAAGGTACAAGATCCCAATGATGAATGTAACTGTACTGTATACTTTAAAAATACCAATAAATTTAATAAAAAAATAATCATCATCATCATTTTATAGGGATCTGTGAAGATTGACATAATACATCTAAAATGCCTAAACACAGCCAAGACACTCAATAAATGTCATCAATTTTTATTATTTCAGTGACTTATAATTTGAGATATTTAAGAATGATTTTTAAAATGAATGATTTATATTTAGATTTTTCTTACTGTATCTCCATAAGAGAGAAATTGTAAAATTAGTGAAAGAGCGCTGATGTTATCTCATTTTGTGAAATTTAAGAGATCATTCCTCTTCCAATAATCTGAAGGTCTTAACTAGCTTCCAGTTTGAGAGAAGAGGAAGCAACTGTGAAATTCTTCGTGAATCATTCAAAAGATACTGCAGGAAATATGAGTTTATGAGAAAACTAAATCCTAGCTTGACCTAAAACATAGAGAATTATACTATGATGATCATGTAATGCAAAAATCTGAAAGATAGCTCATCTGATAACATTTTTAAAAATGGGAAAATAGTCTCAATTGTAAAAAAGCAGAGAGTTTTGCCAAATCATTAAAAGAGGAAACTATAATAGGAGTTTTTGGATATTATAAGCAGGTCTGGGGATATTTTTATTCTTAGAAATCCTTTTTTCCCCTAAGAGCCAGTGAATCTTTACTATTTTGAATTAAAGGTTTGGAGTCTTTTGTGGGTTTGGAGTCTTTTTCTTCTTTTCTTTTCACTACTGACTCCATTTTCATTTAGGAGATATTAATGCCTAAGAGGCAAAGAAAACTGCTTTGTTAGCTTATAACAAAGTAGGTCAGGTCCAAGAGAGCAAAGAGTAGCTCAAAGGAGGAGAAAGATCAGAAAGCTTAGAAAGAGGCACAGAGTACGAAGGCTGACCCCCAATGACTGGTGCTCATTACTGAAAGGCCTCCCTGAAAAAACAGAGACAACATGCTAAATTAAAGAGTTATTGGGAAAGCCTCTTCCCCTCAGAGCAAAGATCAGAGTGTTCCTGTTCCTGATGGTTTAGATTCAGGGCAGCGATGTCGAACTATTAGGTAGGTTTTAGCATCAAAATTCATAGTAAATGTGACAAGACTGGTCTGATTAAACACCAGCTGAAAGGGTACTGTAGTTTATAGGTTTTCGATAAACAGCACCAAAACCTGATTTTTATCTTACAGCGCCAGAAGCTTTACTATTTTTTAATTCCCTCTCAATGCTGTCTTTCTAAAGACCAGAATACTTGTCTCTCTTATTTAGTATAGTCACCTCTTCATTCACATCAATAAGCCCTTTTATCCGTGGCAAGAATCTTACCCTGTGTCATGCTTAGGACAGAGCCCTAGTGTTGAAAAAAGTGTAAAGCTCTCCTAATTATTTTGTACCTGGTGGAGGATTCATGTCTTTTTTTTATTGCTGCGTACTCCATACAGGTATCACATTGATGTGCTTTACAAAATTTTACCTCCTGTACTTGCTTACCATGTCCGATGAAGTGGCATTTTACACACTTTGGTTTGTTCCACTTATGAAACAAAAATAAAATATGGGAAAATTACCATTAAAAATGTTCTTGAATTGGCACATAAAAGAGCAGGTGTCTTTGCCTATATGCTCTAGTAATTTTACTTAAGGCAAAGCTTAAGGAGCACTAAGTCCTAAGGAAGGGAAAGAGTGAAGTAAAGCAGCGTAGAGGAAGGAAAACTTCAATTCAGGAAAATCTCTGGATATGTAAACCATTCTGCCTTTAAGCTAGCAATCCGCTCCATTTAGTGAATGCAAGACCAACACAGAATTTTAAAGTATTCTTGCTTCACTTCAGGGTTTCCCCATTCCACCTTACTATTAATCCTCTGTGGGAGGGTGAGGGGTAGATACCTAAAGAATTAGAGTCCAGGCCCACTGTCAAAACTGCCAAGAGGAAGGTATCATAGCACATACACTGGCTGCTCCTTCGAGGATTCCAAATGGAAAGGCCCAGTTAGATTTCTGAAGAGTTAACACTCTGAGTAGCTGCAGAAATGAATGGTACTTGTGGAAATAATTTTTCATTCAGGGGGTTAAAGATGTAGAGCTTCTTGATTTGTATAGATTTACTCCAACCACTGGCTTTATAAAATATCATTATCAAGAAAAATATGCTCTAAACACACTAAACTCTGCCATTTTTTAAATGTGGTCATCCTTGATATCACCCTGGAAAGTAGGGCTGTTTAAGGAAAGGCTCACCTTGTAATTATCCACCCACACGGTATTAAACATATGAAAAAGAAATTATAACCTATATTAACTATACTTTGACTGTAAAAACATATTTTCATTTATCAACTCTCTTGATTTTTACTTTGCAACATTGTTTTTAGACTTTCAGTCGATGCCTTTTTCTTTTTGGTAGGCCTTTGAAAATCTCCAAGGCCCATGGCTCAGGGATAAACTCTAATGCTGGGTGGATAGACTGGACATTCTGAAGAAAATGCCTCAGTCCTTCTGAAGAGCACTGAGTTTCTTTGTCCTTTTCACTGGACAGAAATAACATAAAATCTCTGATCTGTAAAAACTGATGCAAAAGTTCCTAAAAACCCAAAAGAAAGTTGCCCCACTCTACATGTTCTTATGCTATGAGGACATTTGATGAGAAGTTGCTTCATGAAACCAGATCATTACATTTGCATTGTGTGACTCAAATTAAAGTCTGTTTTTCTTAATAATATTTTCTTACTCAGTTATGGAAGATCCAAGTGGACCTTGTGTGTTAAAAGAGCATTAAAACCTACATGAGATGTAGTGTCTATGTCTGGGATTATTTGGAGGAGTTAAAAACAGAGTTGTGTCCTGTTTTTGCACAGCCTCCATAGTGATTGGGAAATGGTGGTGTGAGATGGAACCCTGCCTAGAGGGAGAAGAATGCAAGACACTTCCTGATAATTCCGGGTGGATGTGTGCTACAGGCAACAAAATTAAGACCACAAGAGTAAGTGCACTCACTTCAAATGTCTTGTGCATGTTACAGACTGTGTTATTCATCTTGATGTTGTGAAGCATTATCTAGAGAAGCCGTGAAAAGGAAAAGAGGAACAATTTTCCTAGCAGAAAACATTCTTACCTATGCATATCAGTGTCCATCCATGAGTAAGAAGTTAGAACTGGAACTTGGCTTTTCTGTACTGAGCAGTTATGTGTTTCTGCTACAGATTCATAAATAAATCCAGCATCTATGGTGCTCAAAATGATCATCAAGTAAGAGTCCTACCTGGTCCACCCAGATGGTTTGCTGGAAAGGTCTGCACATGAGAAGCGTTTTCGAAAAGTCATTTAAAGGAAATCACTGTTGATCTTTTGCAGAAGTGAAAATGTGTCTGTGAAGAGAATATTCATCCCTTCATTTCTCTGGTTAAATCAGCAGTGATCTTCAAAATACACAACACCGGGTAGGGCAGGCTATATAACCCATCTGAATGGTTGCCATGATGGTGAGCCAGGATGGAGAGGCCCAGCTAGGCCAGTTTTTAACCCCACAGAGACTGGACACTCTTGGAATCCTAAAGGTAGTGGTAGGGAGGGTTGTGGGACACATAAGGCAGCTCCTATTTATCCACTAATACAAGGGCATGTCAACATTCTAACAGTCAGCATGGTTATATGTGTGTGTACCCCTTGAATATGTGCTCTTGACTATGTGGGTATGTATTTGTGTTTTAATTTGCTGGACACTTTTTAAAGCGATCTTCACCTGTTACAAATCCCAGGATCCTGAACTTTTAGTTTTCCAAAAAGTGCCTGAAATTTAAGAGATTTTCTCTGATTTCAACTCCTGTATCATGAATCTTACCTGATCTTTCATTTTGTTATCATCTTTTCAATAAACAGAATAAGTTATTACAGCTTTTTGATCCAAAAAGGAAAAATAATGCCACCTAACACTATATAAAACACATTGTTTTCCACGTGCAAAATTAGAGGAGGCAGTTTAATGTCCAATTTAGTTGCCTATATTTTGGCCACACTAGACAACCAGTGGCCATATCTCCCCAGCCTGCAGCCAAAAAAGATTTCCAAGCCACCCTGGCTTTTTAACATGTATGTATCGGCAAGTGCCTCGGTCTCTCAGCATGAGTTATCATATTTCACCTCAGTGAAAAAGCTACAAAGTCAGTACTCAGAAAGTGGCTTGTGCCACTTACCCACAGAAACCAGTTTTGATTAGCCGGTAGAGGATATCATTTCCCTTTGGTTATGTTTTGCCAGAAAATAATTTTACCAAATAATTTGGAAATTCCCTCACCAATCAGTTTATTTTATTAAGCCACTCATAAATATGGCCAGGTATACTTGGGATCCGACCACCATTGTTTTAAACATGTTGGTGATATTTTCTGTATCAGACCTGCATTCCCTCTTCCAATCAGTAACTGATCATCTTTTTCTGATGGTGTCCCCAAGATCTAAAACTCATTAAATAAAATTAGTGTACACCAAACTATTTCAAGATTTAAATCTGGGATATTCTAAGATTACCAACTAGAAGACTCTTTAGAAGGTAGACTACAAATCCAGAAAGAAAGAAACAAAAACAAGCCCCAAAATGAACAAATCCAGAAATTGTCCACGCTCCTTTTCCATGACCTATATAACTCTTTTATTTGGCCTCTGTAAATTCTATTTTAAAACCATCGGGCATGTTATAAACACGCCCTAGTCATTTTCCAGCCCCACATAAGTATCGTACAGAATCTGATCACAGCAATAGAGAGTAGACGCACTCTCTGCTACCACCCTGGTGTAGCAGCTGAGTGGAGAAAGGCGGATAAATGACCGTGGAGTCAGTGTGAGCAGAGGACACACCTGTTGTGACATGTGCATCCATTTCAAGAGAAGAAATAAGAGACATCTCACGGCAGGTGCAGTGTGTCAGTCCCCTGAGAATTCTCAAGTCTTGTCTTAGAGAAGGAGCGTACTTTTAATCCTTGAGAGGACTCATACACTTCTCCTGACACATATTTCGCACCCAGTTTTCCCAAAAAGTTCACGTTATGATGACTATTAGACCTAAAAGGCATGAATTAATTCCAGATGATGTGTGTAGGAGACATCCACTTCCATTGTTGGCAGGCTAACACCCATTCTTAAATCATAGGCTTTGGGAGTAGGCTTTTTATTAGTTTTCCTGTTCTACTGTTCATACTTTCCCATCAGAACACATATGCCTACACCCTTCAAATATTGACTCTAGCAATTTAACTTTAAGAATAGTTTAATTCGCAGATGTACTTTAATTATTGAGTCATATATTTGTATTGATGTGTCACAAAGAAAAAAACAAAGAAAGCCACCTCTTTGTGTTCTTATGTGGAAGGCTGATTCAAAAGAGTGCTCTCAAAAAAAAAGAGAGAGAGAGAGAAAGAAAAAATTAAAAGGCTGAATAAACACACCCAGATTGTTAAAATGACAACTGAATTTCTTTCATGCTGTTATTTTTTAAAGTAACTCCAAGAAAAAAACAATTGCCAAAAAGCTTCCTAGGACTTCATTCTCTTTCCCTATATAGTAAAAAAGTTTTCAAAACCTTTCTATTTGGTATATTACTTTCAAAAATATCATACAGAGAAAACATTCTCAGGAGTCTTCAAAATGTAGATAAACAATAGATACTTCAATGTGTGATCTAACTTAAAATATCATTTTTAAGGAGGGTAGCGAGTAGAAATTCGATTTTTCATCTAAGCTATCAGATACCCTGGAAGAGAGACTGGCCTGGATAACAGGCCTCTATTAAAGGAAAATGTTAGAGGTGTTGTATCTAGGTGACAATGTAACCCAGTAAAGGGAATAAGAAAAGAGAGTAGGAATTAGGAAAAGGCAAATTTGGAAGAATAAACCTTAAAAAAAAAAAAAAGAGGCAAATTCCTGCATGCCACCCTGGAGAAAGGTACAGTCATTTCTGCAAAAATCCCCAAAACCCAGTCTCAAGTAAAATAAAGCCAGTATTATATGCCCTCCTGGGAAGAAGCTAAGTTTCTCTGAGTGAAGGTTCATGGCTGCATTTTAAACCCCATCTCTGCTTTTGCCTCTCAACTATTTTGTTGGTAGTTGGTAGCAAGGCTAGCTTGATAATGACTACTCACGTTTCCCTGTATTTCTCAATACCTATTTACTTTCTTTCTTTAAACTAATACATCAAATAGAGAATTTGAAAAGTTGAGGAGGATCTATCCCATGTCTTCAAGAACACATGTGGAGCTTCCATATGCAGAAATAGTAACTATATTTGGAAAGACTCCCTCAAGGCTCAAATAAAATAAGTTATTTGACAATGATGTAATAATTCCATTGAAAAATTGCACATCTGGCATTTAGGAACAAGAAGAAGGGGATGAGATGAGGAGAAAAGCTTAAAGTCCCTTGAAAAGAAAAATTATTAGATTAAATAGCGGAACATATTGTGTTATGATACCTTGGAAGCTATCTAATATCTTTGGATTTGCTTCAGGTATGAGACGTGAACATTTCTCGGGCTAGTGAGAAAATCAACAATAAGTGCACAATGTAAGCTCAAATTTCATTTCCCAAAAGGTGAAATTAGCAGGTAGCAGATTGGCCAATTAATCAGAATAGCTGTCTAGTCAAATAAGTTTTATATACTTTTCCAACACAAATCTGTCCAACTATTTGTTGATATTTTCCTAGGTCCCTCCTCCTATATGATGTCTCTGGTTGCACAAACCCATTCTAGTCACCCCCAGTGATTCCAATATTACTGAAAGAGCAAACTACCAACTTTGACACATCCCAAATTCTTCACTCAAAATTCTACAGGACCTAAAACATTCTCAGCTCCTACAGTTTTGCACTCCTGAAATGCTAAGAAAGAGAGATCTAAAAAGATAGCATCCATTGCTATTGAAGAAGAAGAAGAAAGAATTTAAAGATAAGGAAGAGACATTTTAAAACATGGCAAATCTTGCTAGATTTAGAGAATCGCAAAAAGAAAAACAAACCAGTCTATGCTGTTAAAATTGGCCATGGATCTAAGTGAACTCGTCCATTTCTTTCATCGGTAAATATGCGCAAGTCTATATTATGTAGAGTCAGTGTATCCACATCCTGGGGGTGCAATAGTGCTCACGATGGAACCCTTGGTCTTTCACTCAGAAGAGGGCCTAGGGCTGGGCAGAAATGGGTGGTACAGGGATAAAAGAAAGACAATTGCAATGACGTTTTATAAATTTCTCTTCCTCCATTTGGTGACAAAGAAGACAATGTAACCCAAAAGTGATGAAGACCACTGGAATGTAGTCAGCCAAGGTTTGGAAGGACTTTTGATTTTTAAGGAGACGATGAGAACATTGAATGCACAGAGATGCTCATACCTTCTGTTCCTGGCCTAAATACTTTTTGAATGTCAAGTCTTACTATTATTCCTGTTGAATCCCTAAAGCTTTAAATGGATTTCTCTCTATATACTCAGAACACTCAATTAGAATTAAGAATGAAAAACAATTAAGAGCTGCTAAAGAAAACAATGCATTTCCTGGAACTCTTGAGAAGAGGCTCTACCTCCAGTAGAATCACCAGTTATGCTGTAGACCGTGAGCAGGTGGCTCCAAGGTGCAACCTGAATGATTGAGTCTTTGGATCCAAACTGCAAGGAATTGATTCCTCTACCATGCTCTTGATTACTCTATTACTGTGTCATTGAGTGGAACTGCTTTTAACCTTACACAGATGTGGTCTAATCTGGGGAGTGACTTTATCTGCCATTCCTTAAAGACTTACAATAGTCCAAATTAATAAAGCCATAAAATGACATGCTCGGTTCGAATTCTCATCATATGAACATGAATTGACTACAAAATTCACAGGATGCGATACAAAATGAAAATGCAGGGAACTCACTCAAAATGATTAAGAAGTTCAAGACAGCAATGGCAGGGCATCTGAGTACAGAGCTTTTTGAGATAGGGCCCTATGCAACTAGACAGGATATATGCCCCTGAAGCCAGTCCTAGACAGATGTTGCTCTGAGAATCTTTCTCCTGAGTTGTGACAAAAATTAACTTAATGCATTGATGAAAATATAGGGCCTGTCCATATATTTCAATCACCACTTGAGAATCACTACTCTAAATTTTAAGATTTTTTTACTTCAGATCATTGGAAAGAAGCAACATGTTAAAAATTCAAGGTAGCCTCATTTTCTGAATAGTTGCACCTTTGGTGTCATTTTGTATTTTTATCTCTGAAATATCTTTCTCTCTTTCAGATCCACCCAAGAACCTAACAGAAGCATTTGTTATATAGTAAAGAAAAGCCAACCAGTGGCAAGTACATTTCGAGAATTTGCAACGTCTTATACACTGACAAGCCAAATGGATTACTTATTTGCACTTTGACTGGTTACCAGATAATCAGTGCAATGACTGTATGTCACAAAACAACCCCATAGCAGGAAGACTCAAGAGTTTTTGGCGACACCATGGGAAGTGGAGTTAAGAAAGCATTTTCTCAGTGAAGCTGTGGGATCATGAAGAATGATCAGCTATCTTCTAATTTGGATCTACAGTTCCTTTGTACCATTTGAAATATATGTACATATAATATTTTGAAATATTATATATTCTCTTCAAGAAATGAACAATACCACAATGTGAGAAGGCTGGTGTAGCCCTTTTAGTTCTGGACGTTTTGTCAGTTTTGTTCTGTTTGTTGTTTCTTTTTCTGCTGGTGAGGAAGATACTTGCCCTTGGGAGAATTCAACACGGTGCGAACACTGGAAGGCCAGCAGCAGGAGGACTCCTGTTATATGAGGCATCAAGACACTTACTCAGAACTTCCTTTAGTTTCTACCAAGTGGCCCAAGGAAGCACATCATCCTCTTTTCTTGTTTTCTACCATGTGCAATATTAGCATGCAAGCTTGGCTTACATACCCATACTTTATATTCAATTGATATATAATAACTGTTCTAACCTCTTCCAGGAAAATATTTTTAGAACTACTAGCTTTTCCACAGATAAGAAAATGAGGATTCTTGAGGGAACTGCTCCACCATGCTATTAAGACTCTGGCAGAGTTATGGTAGGATATAGATCCCTATATTAACAAGTCCTGTAAATACAGTGTCCTAGGGCTTTGTATAGCTGTCCTAGACCGCAGAAATATCCTCTGATTAAATCCAAAGTCTGGCATTGTTAAAAACATAGTGCTGTAGCAACAAGTCTTATCATGGCACCTCTTTCTATGTTTGATTTGCTTTTTCCTAGAGTATTCAGATCTCTTCTGGTGAGATAGGAAGGCTATGAAAGCAATTAGGTCTCAGAATGATCAATGTGACCAAATGTTGGACAGCCCCATTAAAGTGGTAAATAACTTCTTTCTAAACCTACTTGTCCTGTTTATTTGTCATTTGTTCTTTCGGAATTGCTTTAACCAAATCCAGGAAACACTCTCTTCAGAGACTTGTGTTTAACCAGGACTTTTTGCACAAGACCTTTGCTTCCACCATAGGTATGATTTCCAATCCTAATTTTTTGAAAACCAGAAATCCATTACTGTAACTTCAGTGTCCTCTACAGCAAAATGAAATGTCCAGAGCTATTATTTGGCTTCCATAAGGTCATTAAAATGATACATATGGGGATAACCCTTCCAAAAAAAGATATAATAATCCATTAATTATTTTACTTACTCAGCTGATGCTTAGAGTAAGGAGATGTCTTAAAGTCTTGCTTTCAGGGGGAAATTACAATGTCACTTTGCATTCCTATCACTTATCATATCACTTGCAAGTATTTCTTTTTCTCCAAAACCTGTTCTCCGGCATGTGTGTTGGTAGGGCCTCTTATTGGATCAGCAGCAAAATGAGGTCCCAGAGTCTGGACTTTTTAATATTAAACCTCAGGTAAAATTGAGAGACTCCCTCATCTCTCCAAAGAGCCTGAAGTCTGATTGAATGTGTAAACTCTAACGAGAAAAATTGATTCTGTGTTTTGAAGGCCTTTGAAAATGTCCAGAGATGGAAATAGAATCTTGATTGCAAAATCTAGTCTTCTCCTTTCATAAAATAAATATTTTCTGAGAAGGTAGCATTAAATTCATATGAGCAAATCAGAATTTTCTGAATTTGCAGCCCAGAGCCGTATATCAAGTAATATATTACAAATTCCATCTGTGAACTTTGGATTAAAATTGAAATCACAAATGCAAATAATTGTCTAAAACAGTGTATCTCAAAATGTGCAGGAAAAAATTCTACAATCACATGTAATTTGGAAAAATTTTAAACAAAACAAAATAGAAATGTTTAATGGGAGAATTAATATACCAAAAGATGGATGTACTATATCTTCAAGAAAGAGTAGAATAAGAGAGTTAAGTACAAAGCCCCCAGGGTCTATGCATTTAGGGACATGGGTAGTCACAATGCTAAAGAAAAGCGCATTCTAAGAGTAACGGGAAACTACAACTATTTATTTCCAGGTTAGTATACAGTTATTACACTGTCATTTCCTCAATTTTTTTAAGACAACTAGACATCTAGATTTTTACAAAACAATTTCCCCACATTCCTAAAATTAGATTGACTACTTCCAGCCAAGGGGCTGTAAGCACTGTTATTGTCCAAAATTTTCTGAATACATGGACGCTACTATGATATTAATATTTCTTGGCAGCGTCTTTCAAAAGCATTCATTCCAAATGAAAATACAATGAGGGGGAAGAAGACTGCTCTCTTTCCTAAGGCCTTAGCCAAACAGATATTTCACATAACTCACAGTATGTGATGCTCACAGCTTTTCCTGTCCTGGAAGCAGAAACTGTAAGTCAATAAAAGAAATAATGTAAAAGGCTTCAGCTGTGAGCTCACGTCCCAGTGATCAATTCATGCAATCACCTCCCTTGAAAGACCTAGAAAAAGAAACAAGGAAAAAAAGACCACATCAGAGTGAGGCAGCCATCCAGTAAGACAGTCCAAATATTTGTAAATGTCATCAAGTTTAATTTGGATTTATCCAAATCCTTTATACAAATGTGTGAACCACCAAATTGTGTTTAAATTTAACTTGCTGTAGTTTGGGGAATTCAGTAGCTACCATCTGCCTATTGAATCTGAACATTTATAGTGCAAAAATTTATATTGCTTATTTTTGGTAAAAAAGAACTCAGTGTGGTATGACTAATATCGATGCACCAAGTACAGTGTGAATAATCTGGTAACATAATTAGAGCAAATGCAAGGGGTTTCATCCAGAGATCTCCTGGTAAAAAGGGGAAATATGGCTTATTTCTTAAGGTAGAGATTTTTAAGTAAAATTAATTTGTTGGCTTTGGGGGAGACTAGATTTTCCATTGATGGATTTTAAAAGCACATTGAGAAGTTTATGGCTTGGATTTTTTTTCTATTATTGAATGTTGAAGAAGTATTTCACCACTACACAATGTAGCATCGCTTCTCCCTTGAATGCAGCATAACTTTCACAATGTAGTGATTTCACAGCACAATATATAATGCCTCCGTGCCTCTGACACTGATACAAGAACTTCTGGAGAGAATAAGATGGTTTATATGGGGAGATCTACCACAAGCATTCCTTTCTCCCAGGTTAAATACCATGTCTCAATATGGCTTTTACTTTTAATTAAGCCCAACAGTCCCACTTCCAAAGCTGTTAAGATTTGCTCCACAGATGCAAGCTCGCGTTTAAGATGTTGTAGAACTCAGGCCATCTCAATTTATTTTTAAAAAACAAAACAAAACGATAAAAGGGCATCACTGAGGAATAGGGGAAGTTGATACAAGTGGCAACAGTGATAGAATCTAATTTCTTGGGATTCATGGGCAAAACATAAAAGTGATGAAACAGAATCATGCTCAGGCTTCAGGGTAAACTACACATGCACCACTACAATAGATTTCCTAGTAGAGAATGTAGGTTTAGTAGGCCAGAGTCCCCCTTTCTTACAAGCTCAGTGGTATTCCCTGCTCACATTATAGTCCATGATGGCTCTCATTTATTTTGGTTATCTAGGTAACCTGCCCTATGTTAGAAATATTAAATTCCTGTGTGTCTATTCAAATACCTTGTTTCATTAAACAGAATACCCAATCACCAGCCATAAAAATATGGATGCCAGTCAATCAAGTGTATTCACAGATCAGGTGATGGTTTCCCAAAAGCAATTATCACCTACTTGGAAAAGCTCTAACTCAAGAGAAAACTCATGTGCATATCTTAGAGAAAGCCTGGGGCCAGACACTCCATGTGACTGTTTCTAAACAGTTAGGTTGAGGCCAATGAATCTGTGGCCATGCGGTATGTGCTGAAAGTGGCTTCTTGCTATAAAAAAATAAAATTTTAAATTATAGCTCATTCAAGTGAAGTTCTAGAACATGTCATAAAAGGCTCATATTCCTCTAGGAGCTAGCCATGTGACATGAGGTAGTTAGGAGGGCTCCCTGAGATGAGAGCGTGCTGCAGTGAGGGTAGAGATCCTGGAACTCACAGAGTACCAGTAGCCGGAATTTAGCCCTAGCCCACAGTCACCATGCAACATTAGCAAATAAGCGCAGCTAGATTCTTCTGATTTTATTTTTAGGATTATCTAAACATTTGCATGTTGATATGAAATCTCCAAACTTACATATTATAACCCACTTAAATTCTGTTAAAAGATGCGGCTGAAGACTTACATCTATGGGACACCAGTTTGTGAATCTGGCCCAAAATGCTAGTATCTCATGTATTTATCTTCTTCTGTGCTTTTTTGGAGTCATAGAAGAGGAAAGAAGGCAGATCTGAGTTGCAGTAGACTACACAGAACCTGTTTCTTCTATGGGGATACTGTGGGAACAGAAAGGACATCATGTGTCTTCTGTGAGTGGATTTCAAGGTTGCAGAAGAGGACCAACTACTGTACTCAAATGGACTTAGTGGATTTATTTCCATGGACTCCAACTGTGGGGTAACCAAGCTAGAGTGGGAGCAAAATATGGGTATTGGAACGAAGCAGCATCAAGTTGGGAAATCCCACCAGTTGGGAGAAGAGGACTTGGGAAGCTTGTGTATTTACTCAAAATAATGCTAGGCACCACTGCCCAGTGAAAATAGTTTTCACTCTCTGCTTCTATGTTCCACACAACCTCCCACATGATATGTTGTGGCTTCTTCCCACTCACGAAGGCCTGATCATTACTTCTTCATCTGGATACCAGGTGAATTCATCTGGATCCTAATCTGAATCCTCACAAGATGGTCAGATTTGGAAACTTGGAGCCTCCCACACCTGTCACCCACCTCACCACCATCACTTTTCCTCTTCTCTTCTCCCCTCCCTACCTGAGGCTAGAAAGATATTGTGTATACTAAAAACAATCCAAGAACTGTAATCGAAAGAACTCCCCTAAATGGTCAAGTCCTTGTGTCTTTGCTTTTAATTTTGATTTACTGAAAAGCTTGCAGTCTCTCAATATTCATGTCTGAAAATAGAGATCATCAGACAAAGCATAATGGTTATGGGAGAACTAAAGAAATAGTGTAATTGTTTTATAAATATAAAGATAGCAGTAAATAACAATCTTTATTATTATTCTCAGATTGCTGTGACTATGTTGTTACCTATAAACTCCCTGAGTCAGGTCTGTCCTACTCAGGGCAAACACACTTGGGTAAACAGCCAAAATTTATTATTTCACACTCTTTTTTCACATGTTTTTATTTCACGCTCTTTCTGGAATGCCTGAAGTCTAAGATCCTTGTTGAATTTGTAAAACTCTCCATTTGTTATCACCATTACCAGTGTTTCTAAACCACTAAGGAAAAAAAAAAGTGTAAGCCAGACTTGAGTGCTGCCAACACAGGCAGGCAACTGCACATTGGAGAACTCACCCTGCTGGTACCCCGAGTTTTTGCAGAATGTAAATTACTAGTGACCTGAGGAGGCATCTGGTGTGTAAGATGATTATCGGCAGCTACACACAATGTCACGGTCACTCTACCATGTGTGAGTGATGAGCAGGCGCCAGTCATCTAGGCTAATTGGCCAAGAAAATTCACATGCCCCTGTATTTCTGCAGAGGAATGACCTTTCATGTCCTATCTTATCCCCATCGGTAAATATGGCCTCCATTCACTTATTCATCCAAGAAACAAGTATCTATTCAGTACTCACTATGTGTCAGATGCAGCTCTAGAGGTGACAGATGAAAACAGAAACGAATAAATGATTACAAAGAACGATGTAAGCATTTCAAGAGGAACCAAGAAGGGACAAGTACGCAAACTTTAGGTCATGTGTTCAGAGAACACTGAGTTTGAGAACTGGAGGATGACAGAGAATGGCCATGTGGAGACTGGGGGTGGGAGTGGGTAGAGGATGAGGAGGGAGGGATGCTACAGGA